ACTAGATTGTAATAAGAGTAAGTAGAAGGAAAAGAAATAAATGTAGTGAAATTACACTCTATGTTCATGAAGCCTGGCTATGAGGGAAGACAAGGCAGATAGGGTGGAGTTGGGGTAGAAGGCAGAGTCGAACAACATTTTTTTAAAAGATGTGAGCGACATTGGAATGTTCAAATGTTGACTGGAAGGTGTCAAAAGAATGGAGAAATTCTGAAGGTACAGAATGAGATCAGGAGTATCCATGGAAAGATTAACCTTGAATGTGGGGAGAAGAAGGTGAAACGATTGATCCACATACACACAGGAATGGAGATATGTTTACAGGAAATTAAGAGAGTTCACTCCAAAGGTTTCTATTTTTTTTTTTGCTTTCGTTGAATAAGAGAGTTTTAAATATAGCAGGAAGATTTGAAATAGTTGCTGAGAAGTATGGGGGAGAGAAGCTTGTAAGGGAAATACAGTAGAGTTGCCAGACTCTTGAGCTGGTGAGCCAAGAGATAGGCATTATCATTCCCTCTTTACATGTGAAGAAATGGAGGCTCAAAGAGGTTAAGTAACTTGCTCAAGGTTACAAAGTAGATAAATTAAAGGAGCTAGGATTTGGGTAAAGGCCTATGTGATTCTTTCCAGTACTTCAGGCTACATAAATTCCTCGGTCCAGGAGAATAATTTTCATTTCTGAAAAGAAACTGGTGTTTGGGCTACAAACTTCATTCCTACCTCTTTATTCACTTTGTCCATCTCCATCACATTTGCCTAACACCCTTCACTTCTGATATCTCATCTCTAAAATCCGTAGTCACGGAAGGTCTCAGGAATAATCAGTAAAAGGATCATGGCATATAATAGAAATAATTCTCTTAGATACTAAATACCATTTAGAAGCTCGGGATCAGTATTAACTTAAAGGCAAGCAGAGTTTACTAAACCCTTAGCAATGATTGTTCCTTAGAATTACATTTACGAAATAAGAATAAAATAGGACTGCGTAAATAGAGTATTAGATTTAGAAACTGTGAAGTAATTTTCTCATTACGCTTGTTAGCACAGTTTATTTTCCTAGTGAGCTTTGTTTAGAATTCCAAGACTTTCTCAAGGTTTTGTAATCTCCTAGAATTTCTGAAGAAATGATGTGATCTGCTTCTCTGGACAGTTCGGAAAACTAAAGTTGAAATGGGTGATGATGCGCCAACATTGCAGGTTCATCATGAAGGCCTAAAGCAGTTGCTTTTTGGAACTTCCCTTCTTGCAAATAGAGTCCCCTCCTTCCTCCCCTGTGCCTCAGTCTGTAAGTATTTAAGAGATACTAGGAACCTTTACTTGGAACAACAAAATTTCTTATAATTTAGGGATTTGGGGGCTATTCAAGAAATAATAAGGAAGACAAGTGACTATTGTTTAGGTCACATTTTGGTGAAGGTCTGAGCCCAGACAGAGCTAATTTTCTTTCAATGAAGGGAAATTCCTACAAATCCCCTAGTCCAGCTGGCAGGCTGGAGAATTAGTTCTTTAGTGCACTTAACTATTCTGGGGCATCTGGTAACCATTCCTTATGTGGGAGACTTCTTTACACGGCTAGAAAGAAGGTACTTTGTGCGCGCGCGCGCACACACACACACACACACACACACACACACACACACACACACGCACACACACACACACGCACACACACACACACACACACACAC